CAAGATGAGAATTTTGTGTACTCTTTGGACTCATGAACAATGAATAGAATCGTTATGGATAAGATTATATCTAGCTCTCAAATCAGGACAGTTCGAAAACAAAGAACGCATAAGACTGAAGAAAGCTTCAGTCTTTAATGATTCACTTTTCTCAAAAAAAGTCATTGATTGTTTTATTCTCTTTTTCTTATACCATATCTTGAAAATTCAATATCTCAGAAACAAAGGCGCAATGGAATGAATCCTTTTCAGCTCTTTCATACATCATTGAGGTCTACTTATGACCAAAAAATGGAGTATAAACGGCTTGAACACCCGAGGACCTTCCCTCGTTAGTTAAAAAGAGCCCAAGATTTTCGAAAATGGAAATTTTAATAATTAATTCTATGCACTTAAGATGCCGTTTTCTTTTAATTAAAGAATTAAAAAAAGAAACAAGAAAATTGAAAATTATAGGCTGACTTTGTTTCTTCTATATTCATACTTGAAACTAAATACAAACCTGATATGAAGTGAAATCTGAATATGGATTTACAATCTCTGCGAATGTTGTTTGTTCTGATAGCTGACAAAACATTATACCTTTGAAATGACCTCATTCTCTTTTTGGTGCCATCATCCTAATCATCCACATACTGTTCGAATAAAAATCAATGTTAGAGCCTACTTACTAGCAAACGATTTCCGATAAGAAAGTCAAAGAGTCAACTGTGAATGATTTACACAATAAAAAAGAGTAGATTAATTTTAAAAATTCTATGTCAGCAGAATGTCTTTCAAGTTCACAAGTGAAAAACAAAATAGTGTACGGACTATTTTCATATATTCATATCGAAGAAATATTAGTTACCAAATCTACTTGATTTAAATTCGTTAGATTATAGTTTTTAAAATGAACTGAATGAAACTATGAATTGAAATGACATTACAACAAAAATTATGTTGATACACGAAATAACACGTTCTGCCATTTATTTTTGCTGTACAATTACGTTTGATTTCAAGTGTTATCTTTTGATTACAAAAAAAAAGAAGATGTTTCAATGAAGTGAAACTATTAAAAATACTAAGAATGGAAATATCTTTGGGTCATCTGTTATTATTCTCTTTCTTTTTCTAATTTTCTAAAATTCAACATTTCGAAATGATTCATGCATAAGAAAAAAACAAAGAGTTAATTGTCTTTAAAAATAAAAATAAAAAAATGTTCAATAATCTATATATGTTTATGATAATATTTTATGTATACGTTGTAATGGTGCAACTGGTGTTGAACTAATCTGAACTGCTGTATGAAAATCATCTAAAAATTTTGGATAATGATTTGCTGCATTATCATTTGCATATAATAAAGCCCATGGTTCATTTTCTTGAATTTCATCACCAACATGTTTTAATAAACGAATACCAATTGAATGATCAATTTTAGCAGTTGATTTTAATCGACCACCACCTCAAATAAAAGAAAAACAAAAAGGTTAAAATTAAAGTTTTATATTGATCACAAAAAATATCAAATATACCAAGACGTTGAACAATTGTACCAAGTTTATATGAATCAATCGATTGAATAAAACCAGTTTGTGATGCTAATGCATGATGATGTTTATGAGCAAGTTTTAAAATTGAATTAACTATTTTATCATCATTACTAATTAATTGTTCAGCAATCGTTTTTGATACACCTTGAGCAATAATCATATCACGAAATTTTTCTAAAGCTGAACCATTTTGAAATGTTTCACGAATCATTTCACGACCTTGTTCAATTGTTTGAACTTTATTTATAAGTAAAAGAAGTCGACCACCTAAACAAAAATCAAAATCAAAATCAAAGAAATTTGATAATTTATATTTATTTACCTTGTTCACAAACTAATTCTTCTAAATCTTTTGAACGATTTATTTTATATTTCATAAGATCTAATGATTCTTCAATTTCAATTGCATTACCTATACAAAATCCAATTGGATTATTCATTTCCGTTACATAACAACATGTTTTCATTCCAAGTAATTCTGATACTTTATATAACCATTCAGCTAAAATTTCAGCTTGTTCAGTTGTTTTCATAAATGCTGATGCACCATATTTAACATCAAGAACAAGTGCATCAAGATCTTCAATAGATTTTTTTGATAATATTGATGATACAATTAATGCATGATGTGGTACAGTTGCTGTTACATCACGTATAGCATATAAATAACGATCAGCTGGATTAAGTTCAAGTGATTGAGAAAATATTCCACAACCAACTGTTGATATTAATTCAGTAATTTGTTCATCCTTTAATTGTGTTTGATAACCAGGCATAGATTCAAGTTTATCTAATGTACCACCAGTTATACCTAAACCTCGACCAGCCATCATAGGTACTTTTAAATGACATGCAGCAAGTGCTGGTGCTAATGGTATACTTATTTTATCACCAATACCACCTGTAGAATGTTTATCAACAACTGAACCACGATATTTTGGCCATTGTAAACGTTCACCACTATCACGCATACTCATTGTCATTGAACATATTTCTCTTTCACTCATACCTTAACAAAATTATTATTTATTTATAAAAAAAAATGAATTTAATTGTTTTTGTTTTTTCGTAATACCTTGAATAAACATAGCCATAAGCATAGCACCAACATGACAATCTTGAACATCACCATTTGTAAGTCCACTTATGAATTGTTTAATTTCATTAGGATCAAGTTCATAACCATCACGTTTTTTAGCAATTAAATCCGGAATAGATGAATAATGATCATGTTCAATAATACTACTTGTTCGGACTGACATTTATATATTGAAGATATTATGTGTATAGAATTTTTTGTTGTGTATATAATTCTTTTTCGAAATGTTTATCTTAACCTAAGAAAAAAATAATGAAAACAAATATAACGTATATATACACGCACACTCCACGCCTCTCAAAGACACTCGTTGAAACTATCTAATGATTAAGTAGAACACATATCACATTTTTATCTAACAAATCTAGAGTGTTCTTCTTTTTTTTTTGCATTTGCGTATATAATCTAAACATAGCTATTACTCTTTGATAAATATTTAAAGAACAATCATTATACGAGTCAGTTTTTATTTATTTATTATTGTATTTTATCAGTAGAGACATATTATGTTATCTATTTTCTAATAAGCAAACAATCAATGAAATATTAAATTTTCTTTTTTTATTCAAACAATAGAATTTCGAAGTTTAGAATTTCATTGATATTTATTATTAAAAGTACTTATCAAAGTTATCATTTCAATATATACAATGTTAATCAATTTTGACACATTACATTAGATATTTATACTATGAATATAAGACAAAATATATATATCATTTCCCTAATTTATATGATCTTCGGTAGTAAAACTACGTGGCATCCAGAAGGCCGAGTGTTATTGAAAAAAGCACATACAACTATTCAATAAAAAAACATCCATTTGTTTTTAAAGCTTTGTTCAAGCTTGATTCGAGAATACATACAGAATTTATTTGTTTATGAAAAATCTTTACAATATTTGAGAGAAAAAAATCAAAAAACAAAAATGAATTTTATTATCACTGTTTTTTTTTCTTTTTACAAATTTATCGTCGAGCACTATTCATACCACGACCTGTTTGTATATCACCATAACCAGCACGTGAGGCCGATGATGAATAGCTATCATAAACTCCACTATTTGTAGTTGATTTTCTATAAATTATAAAATATTTAGAATATATCAACAATGATGGCAAAAGCATTTTAATTCCTTATAAAAAAAAAAACTTTCATTCTATTTTTCTATGATATTTTATTATTTTTCAGTTAATATTACAATAATAAAATTTCGATAAAGATTATGATGATAATCTTAGATTTATTTTGTTTTCGATATATATCTTCTTTTTTCTCATCTCAATATAATGTCTAGTCATCTATGTGTATACAAAAAATGTTGACGGTAAAACAAGTTCATCAAGTTTTTTTTTTACTTAAGTAATTCTTCAGATCGATTATTTCGAATATTTAATAAAATAAAGACTTGATGAACTTATTTCTATATTACTTTTTTGTTCTATCGACACCACTTTTTTGTACACCCATAATACGGTGTTAAACGAAACGAGGGAATTAATCAATACATGCTTCGATGTAAAAATTCCTACTTACTATTAATGATCTTTTTTATATCGTGTCTCATAAAAAGAGAGGAGAAGAGGATACACATCAGGGATCCTCGTGGGATGGTACAGTCCCATCCCAGCGTTCCATGGCACCAATAAATTTTATATGAAAATTTTTCTGTTAGTAAGAACAATACAACTACTTTAATATAAATTTCGTACTTGTCTTTTTGACAAAAATAAGAGATAAAACTTCTATAGGTGATCCAGAATCGAACTCGATTGATTTGATTTTGTTCTTGTTGATTGCTGATAAAATGTCTCTGAATAATTCGTTCTCTATTATTGAAAGTAGAGTTCAGTGGTTCCAAAAAGTACCCGAAACCAAAACTATAGTTTCGGTTCGTAAAAATTGAAACCTAAACCATTCATTTAATATTGAAAGGCAAGTAACCTTGCGTTACAAGCATGATTCAATGCAGTGAATGGATGAAGATTTCGTTTGTGTATAAATCATAGAATAATAATGAAATATAGATAATACCAGTCGTCATCAAAAATTTCTCGGGTTCAATGGTCTCAATTATCAGAAACTCAAAAACCAGTTCGAGCTTTGGTTCTCGATTCCAGTTTTTTTTAGAACCACCGGACTCTAATAGAAAGTCAATACTCAATAAGTTCGACCACAGTTTCGTCTTCTATTATCGAATCAATTTTCAATTCTGCATGAATGTACAACTAAACGAATCATCCGTTTACTGAGAAAAGACTTAAAAGAAAACAACGAAGAAGAATTTGAACAAATTCCAAATTTTGTTAGTTATCAATAATGAGAGCGAGCATAAGTTTGAATCGATTGGTAAGCGTTTCGAACAAATTTCGTCTCTTTTAAAAGGTATTTGGCGATCGAAATGTTCTCCATCCCATCCTATGTGGAGCCCTGATACACACTGACGTAGGTATGAACCAAACTTGAATGTTCGGATTCGATCTTGACTATGATCATTTTCAGTCAATAGAAATAAGCCAAAAAAAAAAGGATTTCAGACTTGGTCATGGTAGATTTACAAACAACTCTTATCGAAATTTGAGAAACTATTTTTTTTTGTAAGGAATTAAAATACTTTTACTATGCCTTAAGTAGTTCATTATAGAAAAATATTTTAAATTTACTTTTTCTTTTTACGTTTATCGGATATAATAGCACTATAAATAATAATAAAGAAAATTAAAATTTAATTAAAATAAAAATATATATATTTATATTACTTAGCGTCTAATTCAATATGTTCTTCATCTTTCATAGCATTTTCAATAGCTGCTTGAATCATTGGTGAAACCATAGGACCTTCATAATCACGAGTTGTTCGACTTGGAAAATCGAGTTGAAGTAAAATGATATTTTCATTCTAAAAAAAAAAGTTTTTTTTTTTTTGTTTTTAAATAATAATCATCGATGCAATTGTATTAAATACTTTGAAACGAGCTATTTCTGGAATACTATCTGTTTGAGAAAATAGAGATGCTGAATGACGATCACCATTAGCAGATAGTGGTCGTGCAGCCATTTGATCTCTGGTATATGATTGAAAAAAAAAAAAAAGAAAGATTTTTATATCAAATCAATTTAATATTTTTTTGTTTTACGTTTGTTTTGATAATTCTTTAAGTGTCCAACAATTTTGTTCTTCATCAAATTGTGTACGTTTTAATAAACGTTCACGTTCATCAATTGGAATAAAATTTTCAATAATAAGTTGAAATAATTTTGCTTGTTTTTGTATTTCACGTTGTTCAGCTTCAAGTTCTTCACGTGCTGAACGATGTTTTTCAATAATATCTTGTTTTTTTACTTCAAGTTTTTTTAATGATTTAGATAATTTATCACGTTTAGCACGTTTATCATCAACTTCTTCTTTTATATTTGTATATGTTTCATGAATTGTTTTTCGTTCTTCTTCATGTTGTTCGATTTGTTGTTGAACTTCACGATGACGACGTTCAGCTTCAGCAATTAAACGTCTAAATTAATTTTAATGAATAAAATTTTTCAATAAAAAAAAAAAAAAATTAATTAACCGTTTTTGTCGTAAAGCTTGTTCTTGTTCACTTGTATGTGTTATAATATCTTTACCACCGGTAATTAATTTTGATTGCATTTCTTGAATTTTATGTTGCATTTTACGACGTTCATCTTGTTCACGTTCAATTTCTTTTTTTTGTTCTTCAAGTTGTTTAAGCATTGCTTCACGTTCATTTTCTATACAACAAAAAATTTTTATCATTGTCGAAAAAAAAATTGTTTTTTTATTTTTTCTACAAACCATTAATATTTTTTTTATGCATAATTGTACGTTTTTCTTCATTTAATTTATCTTGTTGTTCTTTAAGAAATAATTCTTCATCATCTTGATCATCCATATCATCATCCATATCAGTACCATCATGATTTTTACGTCGACGTGATTTTCGACTACCTTTACCTTCAAGTCGTTCTTTTAATCGTGCAATTTCTTCTTGAAATTTTCGTAATAATGCATCTTTTGGATCTTCATTTATACGTGGTTGATTCTTGATATTTTTAGCTCGATTTGCATAACTAATAATAAATAGAATTAGAAAATTTATTTGAAAATAATTAAAATAGATAAAACTCTTGATTCAAAAGTACCTAAATCGATTACTTCTAATCAATCACAGAGAACAGGTTTATACATTCAGAAAATAAGGGTAATCGGATTGGACTTTCGCAAGCTATCACATAACTCTTTCTTGTCCTATGATTCTTATAGGGATTATTCTATCAAAATTTGGTTCCCTTAGACTATGAGACATTTACAAACAGATTTTATATCAATTTAAAGACTATGTATTGTGAATTTTAAATCAATAATGTTTATCATAAAAATAATTTTTAAGGCATATGAATGGATAGACGAACATTATATTCAGCCGCACGCACCTTGTTAATTAGACTATTTTGTTTTTGAAATAAATACAGAACAATAAAAGTGTCTTAAACTCTTGCTATCCACTTTATACATTATAGTTTACACTCATCAGTGTGTAGTCGATAGCAGTTTTTTTAATTCATATTTAATTCACAGTCAAATTGGCGAAATTCCAAAATTCTGAAAATAGTCATGATTTTTATATAAGATATCGAAAATGCAAAAGTAGAGCAGAAGTTTTTCTTTTCTTATTGTTATATATGGTTAGAGAGAACGTATGGATTTGATCAAGAATATGAGTGTTTTCAAATTTTTGAAAGATTTTTTCTGAAGAAAAAAAAATAGGTCAACTTTTTCATTTTCTTTAAAATACAAAAATATTTGTTTCAGATTTAGCGTGAAAAACTGAATCTAGAAAACTTATTTATGAAGCCATTCAGATACCGCAAAGGAGAGATGTCCAAAGAGGACTATAAGTTTCACGGTCATATTTGACCCTGGAAGGAAATATGTGTGGGTTTGTAGGGCAAGACTTCTTCTACCTAATGATGTATATATTGCGTAGCAAAATTTTCGATAGATGGCGGAATATTTGCTATATATTCTATAGTAGGTACATCAAACGTGGCGTCATCAATGGAAATCTTTGATAAGCAATAGAATTTGATAATACATACACTAAAAAACAGAGAAAGTCTTTCCCATAAACCTGCATACATCCTCTTCCATGGTCAAATCCTTGTAGTCGCCTTTCGAAGAAGTATTTTGTAATGCTATCTAGTGTTTTCTACAAAATGATACAATTTTTGATTCGAACTGTTAGACGTTGTATTTCAAAAGTGTAGTTTGGGTCTTTCGAAATTTTACTCTGCTGCTGACAAGAGAAGTTGTTCAAGTGATAAATTGCTTTTGAATCACGACTACATGTATTACGTAGACTCAAATGAGCTATGAATACTCTGAAAGGAGTTCATTCCCTTTAGCGTAGATATTACAAGTTTATGGTAGTTTTTAAACGAATGTCGAGGTAACAGAAAAACTGATTTTTAATTTGTACAGAAGCAAGTCGTAACGAGGATAGCGTTTAAGATCATTAATGAAGTATTAAAAGATTATTTGAATGATATGAATGAATTTAATTACCGAAGTGTTGTAAGTGATTCTTCATAATTATAATCAGCAGGTCCAATTGTAGCAATCATAATTGTTTTTGAATTACCACCAAGTGAATCTAGAAATTAATTTCATTACTTTTGAATCATTTGTTTTGTTTTTTTCTTTTACTTTGTAATAATCGAGTTAATTTTGAATCACGATAAGGAATATGTGAATTACCATCAACAAGAGCAGAAATAACATTACCAAGTACAGAAAGTGATAAATTAATATTTGTTGCTTCTTTAAAACGATCACCCTAGATTTTATACAAAAAAAAAACAAACAAACTAAGATATAATGTATTTATTCGATGAATTAAAATTTTACAGTTGATCCTGTTTTTGCTTGACGTTCACTACCGGCTAAATCAACAAGATTTAATTTTCCAACACGAATATGTGCTTTTCCATCAGCACCAATCTAATAAATATAATTTTAACTTCTATTTTGTTTATTTTCTATAATTAATTTTCATTACCTCACTACTTTCAATAGTAATTACAAAAATAGCATGTGAACGTGAACTATGTTCATTCATATTTGTTGCTCTGAATTAAAACATATATATTTTATTGAAAATATAAACAAAAAAAACTAAAATCTACCCTGTTGAACGATTTAAATTTCCTGTTGTCATAACATGTTCAATTTCAGGAGAATTTTTTGTAATAAATGAACTAAGATCATGTACATGTACACCTTCTTTTGGATGTTCTTGTAATTGTAAACGTTTATTTTGATCTCGTGAAAGAAGATCACGAATACTTTCCTAGAAGAAAAAAAAAATTTTTTTTTCATACAAAATATATTTAAATAATTTATTTACATTATATATTTCTAAATAAGAAGCTCGAACAAGAAATTGTCTTGATGTACTATGAGCTATGGAATCAAATATATGTGCAAATGATGATGGAATAATACCACGTAAATCTGGTTGTGAACGAATACCTATTACAAATGAATTTTTTTTTTTTAAATTTATTTTATATTAATAATACGATGAATTCTTTTTACCTTCCATTGTAAATGTTTTTCCTGTTCCAGTTTGACCATAAGCAAATATAGTTCCATTAAAACCTTCAAGTACGGAATCAACAAGTGTTCGTGCAGTTTGTTCATAAAGATCTTTTTGTTTCGAACTAAATTTTATTTAATTATAAAAAAAATAAAAACTGTTAACGTAATTCATGTAAGATTAAAATATAAAATACAATATGTAGTTATTGTTACTAATCACATAAAAAAATTCTTTTATTCTATCTATTTTTAGATACATACGAAGGTGTAGATCAAGAGAAGAACAAAATCAACATCCACATCTCGTTGATTCGCACTAACATTATATCGATGCTATGGGTGAAGAAATATTCTGTAGAAATTTTGTCCAATTAGCAGAATTTTTCGATTTTTCAATTAACATCCGCCCGGATGATCACGATTAGGGGATGGATCCGAATTTCTATTCTTACCCATGAGATTCAAATCGAACAAAAACCGTTGGTAGATCGTTCGGTATAATGTGAGCTATATCGACGAGAGTGCAAACAAATGGGCAATATGAGTATATTTTAGCATTACTTTCAGATCGTGCTTCATAAATATACTAACAATAGAACGTCTGAAAGTGTCTAATCCCTTTTTCTTGTCAAGACTATATTCACATGAGCAGTCATAGCATGTAGTGTTAAAGCCTAAGAGGGTCCGGTTGTTTTAGCCTTTGTTCTTTTAACAGAAAGCTGTGGTCTTCTTCAAGTTATTATGAAAATCGAATTTGAATTTGAAATTTTCAATGATCCGAGCTACTGGTGAAAATTTCACTGATTTAAGTATTTTTTGTATCCTAAGATGTCAGTATGAGAGGACCATAGTAAAAGATGCAGTAAAAATTCAAGAACAATAGTTCAGACAATCGAACCGCAACGTTTTCTTGTAATCTCAGAAGTTTCGAAAACCGTGCAATTGTGTTCTATTATCAGAAACTTTCGAATATGAACTCTCAGAGATATAATCACAGATAGCTTATGTATCATAATTAAAAATCATGGTAACAATTTGCCAATAATTAATTCTAATGTAAATAATATCGAAGGATTAAGATTAACTTTTATATAAACGTTTAAATAATTTACAATATTTAAATACTAAGCAATGAAATCTTGACGTACTTCCAATCATAAACAGCATCAAAATAATAATTATGTACATCATCTCCACTACTTGTCATACGATGAGTATTTTCATTTTTTGGACGTTGAATTGATACTTGTCGACGTTGATTATCAATATCAACAACTCTAATATAATAGAAATATGAATAATTTTTTTGTCGAATTTAAAATTAAAAGGAAAACCTTTCACATCTATTATCTTGTTCTTTATCACTCATCGGACGACATCGTACAACAACTCGAACTGATTCATCTTTTCCACCTTTATGCGATGCAGTTGATGGACGAGGCTAAATAAAATTACATTTCATAAAAAAAAATTAAAATGAAAATTTTTCGTACCATTATTTATATGGTTTTAAAGAATAAAATGAAAATCAGAATGGCATAGATGAATTCTTCTTCTTAGCTACAGCATCTCGTGTAACTAAGCAATTTTTATTGGTTTAAAAATCAACCAATATTGTATTATTTGAATAAATCTTATTAAAAACAAAAACTATCTCAAACTTTTGATAATTAACATTCAAAAAATTAATAAATATTTAAGTATTCATAGTTAATTTAAATTTATAATTAGATTTACATTTAAACTCAAAACCAATGAAAATAATTCCATGAATCATTATTCATGTCTGAGCTGGCTTTTTTTTTCCTTTTTTGTATTTCATTTCCTCTCTTTCATCATTTTCTGATGCATGCACGTCATTTTGAGTATGATGCAATGATTAAATAATTGTTATTTAAAAACTAATGAATCTCATTGATTTTTCATATTAATTTTTTATTCTCTTTAGATGGCAACCAGTGGTTCTAATCAACCTAACGATGAAAATAATCCTCAAGCTGTTGCTGGTGATGGACCACCAAAAACAGCAAAACAATTAGCGAAAGAAGCTGAAAAAGCAGAAAAATTAAGAAAATTTGAAGAAAAACAACGAGCTAAAGCAGAAGCTGAAGAACAGGTTTTATTCGTTATATTTGTATTTCAAAAGAAAAAAATTTCTAATTTTTGTTTTTAGAAAAAAGCTAAAGAAGCAGCGGAAGGTAGTGGAAAGAAAAAAGGTCCAACACGTGACATAACTGAATATACATCACTGACAAATATTGGCGAGAAAAAAGGTAAATTTATATGAATAAATAAATCATTTATAAAAAATTTATATTTTAGATATTCATTGTGAATTACCCAAAGCTTATAGTCCAAAATATGTTGAATCTGCTTGGTATACATGGTGGGAAAAAGAAGGTTTTTTTCGTCCTGAATATTATGATCAACATCCACCATCAAATGCTTCAACACCAAGAAAATCATTTACTATGGTTATTCCACCACCAAATGTTACTGGTTATCTTCATTTAGGTCATGCTATTATGTGTACACTTGAAGATACAATTACAAGATGGCATCGTATGTGTGGTGATACAGTTCTTTGGGTTCCTGGATGTGATCATGCTGGTATAGCAACACAAGTTGTTGTTGAAAAAAAACTTTCACGTGAACAAAAATTAACAAGACATGATTTAGGACGAGAAAAATTTTTAGAAGAAGTTTGGAAATGGAAAAATGAAAAAGGTTTGATCTTTTGTTTTTTTGTTTTTTTTTGTAGTTAGATCTTATTGAAAATTTCACCATAGATGCGATTCATGATGTAGAATCTATTCGGAAGTTTTAGAATCTTTTTCTCATATGGGTAGAAATATATTTGTTAACTAACTTTTAATTGATAGTCAGTTGAAAGAGCTAACATTTTTACATATGTCTATTGTAAAAGAATCAAAATCAAATGAAAAGTGAACATGTCCCGTTTCGTCTGAAATGGCTCATTTAAAATATTTGCTTATTTAGGATATTCTATTAATACCAAAAAAAAAAAAAGTTTTATCTTTCAAAAGATGATCTCACGAGGAAATCTCCTTAAATACTCCTTTCCAATTCCAATGATTCACATTTTTGATATCTTTATTATCTGAAGACTTGTGTTCGATCTTAAGTTTTCGAATAAATTGTATTTTGAGTCTGAAACTT